GAAATTTCACTTTTGTTTCTTGTATAGTAGGTTCTTATAATGTATTTATTTTTATTGAGCTGTGCCCAGTCATGTCTGACTCATGGCCGCCCCATGGACTGTAGACTGCCAGGCTCCTCTGTCCAGGAATTTTCCAGGCAGGAATGTTGGAGTGGGTTGCCATTCCTTTCTCCAAGTGATCTTCCCAACCCAGGGATCAAACTTGTGTCTCTTGCATCTCCTGCATTAGCAGGTGATTTCTTTACCATTAGCGTGCCACCTGGGAAACCCTTTCATTGAGGTAGTTGGCATTAAATCATCGTGTAATCTAGGAATGCTCAAGTGATTTTTAAAATACATTAATCATGAAATTATTTACAGTCATTCTACTTTGATGATAGAAATAGATGGCAGTTGATGTCATTTCCATTTTATATTTCAAGAACTGAATTAAAATATATAATTTTCACATAATCTTGTCTTAATTAGCATGTCTTCTAGTCCTGTTCATAAAAAGAATGTAAGCTGTATACCTTGAATTCTTTTTTTTTTTCCTTTGAATTCTTAATACCCACTGATGGTATTAGATCATTCAAAGAATTAGAAGAACTTTCTAGACGATTTATACACAACTTAAGTGAAAGCTATTTCCTTCTGTTGTTGTCATTCAGTTGCTAAATCATGTCTGTATCTTTGCTTTACTCCCTAAATAAATTAAAAGTGGATGGACGTGGATTTTAACAAGATTGATTTTCACTGTGCTGAGTACCTATTATAAAAGATAAGTCAGAAACCAAAATAATGTAGGTATAATTAGATTGTGTAGCTAACTTTCTTTAAGGTAATTGCTGTAATAGAGAAAAAATTTTTTAAATTTATATTTGATTCTCTAGCAGTTGTTACCATATATTGGATTGAAGGCAAATTTAAAAGGCATTTTAACAAGACAGTTTCCTTCCTGTCATTTTTCAGACTAAGTATTTACGTCTATTCTAAAATTGCATTATTTCCTGCCAAGACAAGTTGTTTGACAGGTTTCCCCATTATTTGCATTTTTAAAATTTGAGCTCCTTGGATCTTCAAAATACACAATTTTACTTTAAAATTCTTCCTTTCTAACCTTTGTTAGGTTACTGATGCATCACATCAGAGATTGCTTACCAGAGTTGAAAACGAGAATAAATGTTCTAGCTGCTCAATATCAGTCTCTTCTAAATAGCTATGGTGAACCTGTGGATGATAAAAGTGCTACTTTACTCCAGCTTATTACCAAATTTGCCACAGAATATTGTAATACTATTGAAGGAACTGCAAAATATATTGAAACTTCAGAGCTGTAAGTAAGAAATTTCTCTATGGATTTGGCTACCTGGATTGCTAGGTTAGATAAAGAAGAAAGATAAAGATCTTTTGTTACAGTGACTTTGAGATTATCTGATTATGATTTATTATCTGTAAAACAGGAATATCATTTTGTAGAAATTATGAACAATATTTGATATGTATGTAAAATGCCATAAAAGTATGTAAAAATATGTAAAACATGGTAAACTTTCAGGTTTTTTTTTAAAAAACAAGACTTTAATTGATAAGTATAACATTTTATAATTTAAAAGAGTTTGTTTCTTTAATATGGACAACAACATTGTTCATGAAAAAATAAAAAAATGCAGATAAGGAAAAAGAGTAAAGTATAAGGATAAAATTACTTTCAATTCCATCATCCAGAAATAATCCCTATTACTTTGGCATTAATCTAGACATTTTTCTATATATTTATAGGACATATAAATGCCTATAATATACATCTTTAAAAATCAGATGCTACAGAATCATTTCTTTAAATCAACTTGTCACAAACAGCTAGTAGAAATTGCATATTTGTATCTTCAACCTTAAGGTTTATATAGTATTTGACTTTTTAGACATATACTCTTATTTGTTCAATCAGTCCCCTACTCTTGGTAGTTTGCTTTCGGTTATATACAAATATATACAATGTTGTGATGGACTATCTTTGGAGCATGTATCCAAGTAAATCCTTAGGGTAAATTTCTAGAAGTAGAATTACTAGATCAAAAGGTATATCACATTCTCAAAGTCTCTTATCATTGCTATATTAGTAGTGCATGCTAAGTTGCTTCAGTCGTGTCTGGCTCTTTGCGACTCTATGGACTGTAGTCCACCAGGCTCCTCTGTCCATGGGATTCTCCAGGCAAACAATACTGGAGTGGGTTGCCATGCCTACCTCCAGGAGATCATCGTGACCCAGGGATAAAACCTGGATCTCTAACGTGCTCCAACATGTTAGGAGTTCTGTAACATCCTCCTGTATTGGCAGGCAGGTTCTTTACCACTAGTGCCACCTGGGATGTTAGTAGTAGATTGTATTGTATTACTAGTAGCAATATATAAGAATATATTTCTCTGAACTCTCACCTTTAAAAAGCCTTTTAATTTTGAAAAATAACTATAGATTTCTAGCAAGTTGCAAATAAATATACAGAGAGGTCCCATTTACCCGTCACCCCACCTCCCCCAGTGTTGACATCCTGCATATCTGTAGTACAATAACAAAGGAAGAAAATGGACATTGGTACAATCCACAGTTTATTCAGATTTCACCAGTTACACTTCATGTGTGTGTGTGGGTGTACAGTTCTGTGTACTTTCATGTGACCCTGGTAGCCTTCTGTGTGAGTTAACTCCATAGAATATTTCTATCTTTGTAATTATCTAATCAAGCCTCATTAGAACATTGAAGAGAGACCATTTATATCTCTTTCAAGGATTGGGAGAGCTCCATAGTTAGGAATGCATTTGGGTTGGGCTGTGAATAGAATATGGGGAGGCCGTAAGCAGTAAGCAGAAGGGTATTTTAGGCTTTGGAACAGCAGAGAATAGTGCAGGGCGAATTTGGAGAATGGCACGTACAGTGATGGGATGTAACAGGAAGTAAGGCAGGAAAGGTGTCTAATAAGAACAAGACTGTGGAAAGTGTAATGTGTCAGAATTTGAAGAGCTTCCTACTATAAAAAAATGAAAACATTTTTGGTCACAGGAGTTCCCCACTTTAAAAGGGTAATTCTGGTCATTATGCAAACTATTTGGAGAAGGTAAAGGTTGGAGGCAGAGAGACTAGTTACTGGTAATTTTAACTATTTTAAAGTATAATACGTACTACCAAGTATATTCACAATATTGTACAACCATCAAATAGTATCTATTTCCAAGATTTTTCATCATCCCAACAAAAACTCTGTATCAAATAAGCATTGGTATTTGTCTTCCTCTCTTCTCCTAGCCCATGGTAACCTCTGACTTACTTTGTATGTGAATTTCCCTATTCTAGATATTTCATATAAGGAAAATCATACAATATTTGTCCTTTTCTGTCTGGGTTATTTCACTTAGTATAAATAAGTATATTTCACTTAGTATTTCACTTAGTATAATGTTAGGCTGGTACCTTCTGCCTAGGCTACTGTTAAGAAAGTAGTGAATAGTGATGGTTAAAATAGAGAAGAATGAATGATTTGGGGGGATATACCATATTTGTAAAGTTTCAACTGGATTTGAATGAAAAAAATAAAAGATAATACCAGGATTTCTAGTCATTAAGACAGGAAACACAAGGTATCTAGTATGTAGGCGTAGAGATTTAATTTGTTTAAAGCAGGGATAAGCCCATTGACTAAGAATCATTTTTACATTTTTTAAATAGTTGAAAAAAAATTCAAAGAATTTTTTATGTAGTGTATATGTAAAGTTCAAATTTTAGTGTGTGTAAGTTTACAGGAACATAGCTATGCTTATTTGTTTACATACAGTCTGTGGCTGCTTTTGTGCTCAATGGCAGAATTGGCAAGTTGTGACAGAGGCCTGAAAGTCTAAAAGTATTTAATTGGCCTTTCATAGAAAAAGTTCGCTGATCTCTACTCTAGATTGTGAATAAATAGAAATTAGTAGGATACTTTTCTTATCCTTAAGGAGCATGTGGTCTAGTTGAAAACTTGAGCAGAGAAAAATGTTTAGTTGTTGTTAGTTAACTGATGTTTTCTGACAGAACAATTTACTCTGTGTGTGTGCATGTGCACATGCATATATCAATGCCTTTTGTGAAATGACTCCTTTCCCCATTAAAAAGATTAGAGAAATTGATTCATAACAGTTGAGAATACATGGAAATGGTCTAAATGTAGTTGTCTATCATCTTAATGCTTACAGAAAGACTTCTACTTTGTAGTGTCTTTCCCTTTTAGTAATACTAGAAATCATATATTTCATTGCCTTTCAGATGTGGTGGTGCTCGAATATGTTATATTTTCCATGAGACTTTTGGGCGAACCTTAGAATCTGTTGACCCTCTCGGTGGCCTTAACACTATTGACATTTTGACTGCCATTAGAAATGCAACTGTGAGTATGCTTAACTTTTAGAATTTTTTGAAATGAGGTTAAAGATTATTTTTTAATCCATATATCCTTTTTAATGAATGGTACAGTTTGTTATTTTGCTCTTACTCTTGAAATTAGGAAGTACTTTTCATGAAAAAAATGCCAAAAAATTTGATTTATTTTAACCTTAGGGAAGAACCAAAATTATACGTAGCTATAAGAGCTCATGATTGTATCTTTTTAGGGTCCTCGTCCTGCTTTGTTTGTGCCTGAAGTTTCATTTGAGTTACTGGTCAAACGGCAAATTAAACGTCTGGAAGAGCCCAGCCTCCGTTGTGTGGAACTGGTTCATGAAGAAATGCAAAGGATCATTCAGCACTGTAGCAATTACAGTACACAGGTATTGAGAAATGGAACATGTTTCTGACTAAGTAGTAAAAGACATGAGGTGATAGGTTCAAGGGACAGGAGGAAATATAGAAGATGGACTAAAAGTTAAAATTTTAGTTCCTTATCTAAAAGTGATATTTGAAATAGTATAGTTAAATATAGCTTCCAAATCTGGTTTAGTATTTCAGTGATTAATTTTCCTTCAAACCAAACAGACTGTTTCTTACTTCCATCATATATAGGAGTTGTTGCGGTTCCCTAAACTTCATGATGCCATAGTTGAAGTAGTGACTTGTCTTCTTCGTAAACGGTTGCCTGTTACAAATGAAATGGTGAGCTGTTATTTCATAAATCATTGTAGTCACTGTTAATAAAATCATTTTGTATACTTTATGAGTTTAGGCATAATGTTTCCCAGTGTATCAAAAAGAAAAAGAAGTGAATTTCAGTCTTATTTCAAAGGAAACTTCAGTAGTTCTAGTATAAAATGCATTTTTCCTCATATTTTAGTCATTGTTAGCCTGCAGCCACATTTTCCTAAAAATAGCCAGTGGAAGTTTATTGTTGAGGATTGTATTCAGGTATGCTTTATTATATATATGGGCTTCCCAGGTAGTGCAATGATAAAGAATATGCCTGCCAATGCAGGTAGACCCAAGAGACACAGGTTTGATCCCTGGGTTGGGAAAATCCCCTGGAGTAGGAATGGCAACCCATTCCAGTATTCTTGCCTGGAAATCCTATGGACAGAGAAGCCTGGCAGGCTACAGTCCATGGGGCGGCCATGAGTCAGACATGACTGGGCACAGCTCAATAAAAATAAATACATTATAAGAACCTACTATACAAGAAACAAAAAGTGAAATATTATAGACACACACAGTATAGAAATGTAAGGATTAAAAATGTAATCAAAGGTCTCTGACACCTATTGGCAAACCAGAAACATCTCATTTTCCAAAAGGTAAAAAATGTTACCTGTTTAAAATCTGGACAAGATACTTTGTTCCATTTCTATTAGCCAGAGATGGTTATTTCTTTTGAAGGAAAGCATATTCATCACTGAGTGAATCAGATACATTCTTCTTATTGTTAATATCTAGCTGGCTCCTAAGGTTGAAAAAATTAACAAAACTGTTTCAACTAAAGGAAACTGTGTTACTAAGTACTTTGGATGGTGAGGAGGATGACAATGATGGCCTAAAATTGATGAAGGTGGCACCAGGAATTGTCTGTAATGCTTGACATGAATTGTTTTATTTAATTCTGACAATAATTCTATGCAATAGGTATTATCTCATTTTATAACAAAGTAAGGAAGGCCCGGGGAGATTAATTTGCCCAAGGTCACATATTAAGTAATTCAGCCAAGACTCAAACTGTGTGACTTTTAAGTAAGCAATGTTTGAATAATGTAGGCCACATTATTACCATTAACCACAGTCAAAAGCAGTACTCTTTTTTTTTTTTTAAAGCAGTACTCTTAAGTAACAGGTAAAAATATATGTCTTAATCAACTGTGTATTTTATCCATGGACAAGAAACTAAATTGGAGAGTAGCCATCTACAAATACACTTTCATAACACTTCCTTGCCTTGAAAAGAGATAATGGGAATTAAAAAAAGAGCAGGGGTGAGGGAGAAAGATGTGTGATTAGAAGCAGACAAGTATGAAGACATCAGTGAGTAACGTTTTCATTTTAAAAGGTTTGAGACCAAAGATGTCAGGAATCATTTAACCCCACATTACACCTAGTTTGTGGATGAACTGGGAGTAGAACCCAGACCTCATGACAGTTTCAGTGCTTCCTATTTTATAAAGGTTTTGGACTAAGATCTTCATTTGAATCTGGCTCTGCTTTCACCAGCCATGTGACTTTGGTAAATGTATCACTTAGTAAGTTTCCTGATTGTAAAACAGACTAAAATAATAGCTCTCCCGTATGTTGGGAAGGTTCAGAGAGATACCATTTGCAAATTTCTCACAGTAGAGTGTCTAAAACATAAGTAGACACTCAATAGTAATTAGTTTCCTGTCCATAATTTTTAATTTCAGCTGCCTTTAGGTATTATTAGGATACCTTTAATAAAATGTCTCCCAAGTCACATCCCAGCAATTGTGTAGAATCATTAATGCTAGGGGTTACATTGATCTATTAAAATACTACCACCTTAAAAAACTCTTTTTTTGACTGGATGTAAACGAAATAATACTTTTTTCTAATACAGTGCCCTCATACGTAACATAATAGACAAGGATATTTTTTTAAGCCTAGCCATTAAACTTTTTCCATTTTGTGGCTCTACTTACTTCACATCCACAGAGTCGGACACAACTGAGCACACATACATATAGCAGCACTGTTCTAATGGAAAGTTGGTTTTATCTTCAGCCCCGGCAAACTGAGCCTTTATATAGCAAGTAATTTTTTAACTTTGATGTATGTCAGGATAATTTGGCTGTTTGTACAGCTTGCTTGTTTGATGACCTAATGTCATAATATCATGGCTGCTATCCTTAAAAATAAAATCCTGAAACTGGCGTAAATATGAGATAAGCATTTGAAATTGTCCATATTGCCTCTAATTGTTGACTGTTTCTTTTTTTCCTTTCTGGTCTCTAAAAGTGCATTTGGGTCCTTGGCTCAGAGTGGTGAGCCCCAATGGACATTTACTTACATTTACTTTACAAGTACAAAACCATCCTTGGAAGTATAGAATGTAAGTGCTGCTGCTTAGCTGTTTTCCTGGCAAGCATAACCACGAATTAAAATGAGTGAGAACATGATTAGCCTGATCTTGGACTCTACCCACTGATACCAGAGTCATCAGAATTTCATTTAAATAAATCATTTTCACTGGTTTTGATCTTTTAGTGCTGTTCTGATACCTGAGATTTGTCAGGACAGTGAAATGAAGGACTTAGTTTAATCTCTCTATAATGCTAGAGTAATTAATTTTAACTTTCCTTTTTGATTACTGTCCCAATTAGGATTTTGAACTACATATATTTAAACTAGGTGCTTCATAATTAGGGCTAATCAATTAGGTTAGCTCAGGCCTTTAAATGTATCCTTTACCCAAGTGAAGTTAACATCTTTAACTTATATCTGATTCTGTAATGTTTTATTATTGAACCTGAGCTTTTGACATGGAATAGTGGATGATCTAAGGTTTTTATATAGCAGAGTTGCTTGGAAGTTAGATATGCATCAAGTAGATAACTTTTTTCTCCCTAACAGTATACTTTTATCTACTTCAGTGCCAGAAATGCAGTCTTAGATGCTGAAATAGAAATAATTTAAAAGAGAGAGCAAATTGTTATTTCGTGTAAGATTTATCAGTTGAAGCATAATTATCAAGTATTTCTTTAGGCATGTTTCCTGTACGGTCTTTCAGAATTTATCTGTTAAATAAGTTAATATGTTTCCTAAATTAAAATTAGGTTGGCATAATATTGTATATAGCCTAATTTTATTTTTTTCTAGGTTCATAACTTAGTGGCAATTGAATTGGCTTATATCAACACAAAACATCCAGACTTTGCTGATGCTTGTGGGTTAATGAACAACAATATAGAGGTAAATACAATTTAAATTTGTGTTTTTTGAGAGAGAAAATCTGTTTTAGATCAATTATATCAAATTTACTGAGCAAGGAATAACTATAAGACATTTATGTACCTTATTATTGTCATATTCCAAGAATTATGCTGAGGGCATTACATTGTTTTCTTAAATTTAATCCTCAAAATCACCTGGAGGGATTGTTCTTATTTTCTGCTTATGAAACTGTAACTCAGAGAGGATCTGGGGCTCATTGATTTAGTATTTGTATTTGAAGGGCTGTCTGGTTCCATTTCAGTTAACTGTTGTTGCAGTTTATTAGACTGAAGTATGTAAAACAGTGGATGTTTAAACTTGTTTTTACTTGATTCTGAAAGCTTTGAAGGAAACAATCCAAGAATTACCTAAATTATAGTGTATTTGGAGAAACAGTACTGTTTCACCACTACTATGATTGCTGCATTTCATGGATCCTTTCTTTTTTCCATTTGAGGTTAATGTTGTAGGTTGCATAAGAACTCAGAAGGAGCCAAGGCTGATAGATAGAATGATTTATCTGCATGCATTTTTTTCTCTGCCATTTTTATACAAAACAGTAAAATTTTCTGCTGTTTCATAGTCCAGGAAGTCTCTCTTCTGTATCAAATTTCTTTTATGCACAGAGAGAGAAAATTGTAAACATGGAATTTGGAAACTGCAAGGGACCTTTTAGTTAAAAAGATGAAGAACCCGAGACCCACAGCTGATAACAGCTGTTACTTTACTGCATATTTTGCTGGACACTGTTAGAGGGGGAAAGCACCATCTCTTTAACAGGTACAGGGAACTGTTTTTTAGCTGCATAGTTGAGGTAACTCCTATTGTCAGAAAAAATTCCAAAACACATGTAAGTAAGGCACTTGAAAACACTTAAGAAAGTGGATTCTATAACAATTATCATGTTAAAAATTGGCATGTAGACACTTTCTTTAAGATAGGAGTTAGTTCTTGTAACATGGAAACCTTCAAGGATGAGTTTTGTCTGAAACAGTTTTTCTAGTACTGACAAGGTCATTTATGATGTGATTTCAGATCAGTATTTTTCTTACAGGTGAATGTCTCTGATTTTAATAACTATGTGTCAGAGAACAAACACATAGATACTCTCATTTAATCTTTAGAGCAACCTTATAAAGGTAATGTTAATAGACTAGGAAACCAGGGCTGAGAGTTAGTAACTTGTTCAGTTAACAAAGCAGTAAGCCAGCTCTCCGGGGCCGGCTAAGGTCATAACTGGTTGGTAATGGTTGGTAATAGACTAGCATGAAAATTTCTGGTCTCTTGATTCCTCTGCCTTTTGCTTTGTGTTCTTCTTCAAAATGTACATTTAAATGCTAACTTGTAATTCTGAAAGTTGTTAAAAATCCATATATTTTTTATCATTTGCTATATTTTTAATCACTAGGTAAGTGAAAAGTTAGTATAATTTGTTACAAAATTTTCTTACCCAAAAACAACACTGTGAAGCTTTGTTAACTTACACCTTTTTTGCAAGTCAGTGTTCATGAAATGCTTTCTACTCAGGAGCATTTTGACTGCATTTAACTTAAATGCTTTTCTGCTGTATTTGATGCTGCTTGTGAGCCAGTATTAACACCTTCGTCCTTTTATATTTTCATAGTCTTGCACCTATTATGGTGCTTTACATACAGTAGGTATTGTTGGTTTGAATTTAGTGTTTCTTTAGTTTGGTACCAGAATTATATTGATGATATCAACAAACTAGAAGAGTGGCAGGTGATCAGTCTGTTAAATTGCCCAAGTTATAGAACAGACTGTCAGTTTTTAACACTAAGAAAGCAGAACATTCTTATAGATATTTCTTATTGTTTTGTGAGAACTGTGTGAATGTAACACAAATGTCAGCAGGTTAGAGTGATTTTTAAAGGCTTTGCTTAAGTTTTCTGTGACCTGTATACTTCAGATTCTATATGGTGTGTTGAAGGCTTACATACACTTTTATGTGGGAACAGTTTAAATCAGTGATTCTTAACTTTGTGGGAAAGGCAGAGATGATGCTGGGCCACTGACCCTCCCTTGAGAATTCTTGGTACAGAAAGCCACTATTACTGATGTTGAATTTATCCCTCAGGTATGTTGGAGCAGAAAAAAGATTGAGAAGCATCAGGTTAAATGATTTCTTATTTGTTTTAAAATATAATTATGGTATGAGTCTCAACAGTGGGAGGATATACTGTTAGTTATTCCATACTTTTCAATTAAGCTGAACATTTTTTTTAGTAGCTTACATCTCTTATGTTCTGATAATCATGAATCTTATGCTTGCTTGTGTTTTATAGGAACAAAGGAGAAACAGGCTAGCAAGAGAACTGCCTTCAGCTGTATCACGAGACAAGGTAAAAAATGTTTTTAAAGCATATTCCCAACCAATATGCAGAGGTGGATTGGTGAGCCTCAGAATATTACTGAGTTCTAGGAGTAATTTTTTCTTCTTACTTTAATATTCCATTGGCATATTTGAGTAAAGGTATGCAAGTTTCAGAA